AAGAAAGAAAGAAAGAAAGAAAGAAAGAAAGAAAGAAAGAAAGAAAGAAAGAAAAAAGAGACACATGAAGCTTTGTTCCTGCTTCTTCTCATCTAAAAAAAAATAGAAAAGGGAAAAAAATCCAGCATGGATTCTGCCCTAACATAGCTCCCTTCCCAAACTTTGTTGTACTTTTAAAACAAGTAAGATTGCTAATCTAGCAGGAAACTAGGCTAGGTTAACCTTGAACTTTTCGTTCTATTACGTTTTATGGTGTTTTTAACTGTTGGTAGCCACCCAGAGTCATGAACTTGAGATTGGGAAGCGGGGGAGCATACAAACTGAAATAGTAAATAAATAAACCAGTCCACCTAGAGAAATGGAGCAGGGCAAGAGATTTTAGGAAGATAGCGCTGCGCCTTAAACCACAAGCCAGCATACTTTTTAATGTGTTAGTGGCTAAGGAAAGCAAAAATGAGATTGCAAAGCGAAGGTACCCTTTCTCTTTCCATCCAGCCTTGACAGCCCTGGTCTCCCCCAGGAAACCCTTGCAAGGCCTGACCTTTGGGAACAACAATTTTCCTCTTTTACTACAGCCCACCAAGCAATGGGGCAACAAGGTCATTTCAGTTTGGGGAACAGAGAGGGGAGCCCTTTTTTGATGGCCATGTATGTTACTTCGCTTACTTTAAACTAGACTTGCTGTCTCTGGGGCCACTCTACCCATTAAGGCAAAATTCCAGAACTCCGCTAAAGCCCCATCCTGATGGCATAATGGGTACTCAGGATAAAGCCAGCCCCTGTTCCTGGCTTCAATGAACTGGACTCTTTCTTGGTTTCCCAGTTGTAACCCTATGTAAGTTGTGACCTTGAATAGACTCACTTTGGAGTGAATACTCTAAGATTGCATTTGGAAAACTCACAGAGAGCTCTAGAAAAGCCTTCCCTGAGGCAGTGCCTCCAGATGTGTTGGACTACCATCCTCAGCCAGCTCTGCTATGGGCTGCCTGGGGATGGTGAAAGTTGTAGTTTGCCTCTACAGAGCACCAGAACCTTAGTGCCTTCCAGATGTATGGAATTCAGTTCCCCATCCAGTTCAACCACTGTGGAGAACTTTGGGTTGAAGTCAGTGCACTTGGGGGAGACCAGGTTGGGGGAAGTTCTCTAGATGATCTCCAAGCACAGCCCCACCTCCCCAAACAGCAGCTTCCTTACACCAGACTGATGACGAGGATCACAGTGGAGACAGTCTGTCCCTGTCCCGGCTCCAGTAGTTGTTCTGAAAGACGTGAGGTCAGGCTGCCTACAGGTCAGAAAACCAACAGATCAAGGACTTAAAGAACGAAAGGAACCTGAGGTCCTCCAGACATTGTTGAACTGCAACTCCAAGCAGCCTCATTTAGTCTCATCCCTAATGCTGAGAGATTTTGGTAGTTCAGTAATATCTGGAGGATCACTGAATCCCTGTTCACCAGGGAGAGGGGAAGGAGGTAGACATCCTTTCCCAACAAGAAGACATACCTGAGGGGCGAACAGTACGTGATGCCCCTTCACCATCGGGTAGTGTGGGCATTGGGGGTTCAACATGGGGTGCTCTCCAGCTCAGGGTACGTTTCCTGCGACGCAATCCAGACAAGAGACCCCGGGGTTCTTTGCCATGGCAGCTCTCCTCTAGCAGAGCCTTTTCTGCTTGCACCAGTGCCAGTTCTGAAACAGTTTAAGACAACAGAGGTGAAGGTGTTGCAGGACTGAGTTCATGCACAAAATTACAATCATGATATATGAGCATCTCTTTTTTTCCAAAACATCTACACTTTTGTCTAGTTCTGCACATGCCTACAGGCTCAGACCCCTTTAGAGCTACCCGTTCTCTAATAATCTCTACTGGGAGAAAATGATGAACCTCATGAATGGGAAGGAACCCCAGCCCCAGACTGTGTTGTAGCTATTCCAAGGCACAGGTATTGCACTGCAGCTTGTCCCCTTGATTCACTTACCCAAGTGCTGGAAGTATTCTTCAACACCACTCCATGCATTTTTTTCAATGAAAGTCTTCACTAGGGTCCACGGCTGCTTCCGATACCGGATTTCAGAGGAGACTCTGTAATGGAGAACAATTGTCACAGATGGGCCAAAGAATCTTTCTGTTTCCCCCATGGAATGCTGGGAAACTCAAAGAGGAACCCCTTGGGCAAAGGATGGAATACTTAGTTTGATTTGCAACCAAGAGGATCTCTGGGGTTATTTAATCTTTCCTATATCTGTCTCATCTTCTTCCATTTCCTCTGCAGCTACGAGATCAGGTGTTCTCCAAGGAGATCAGAGTCTCAGTAACCTTTGTGTTTTCAGAGCTGGGAAGGTGGGATGTCAGTCATTCTTTGTTCCTGAATGCTGCATGTAAGATGACCCAAAGATGTCCCACAGTCATGCATTTGGACTACAGTCTCTATCTCAATGTGAACTCTGAACTGCAAACAGCAAATCAGCTGGCTTAATTTGGGGGGTTTCTTGCTTCTTCCCCATCCCGATTGATGTAGCATCATGCCCAAGGAAGAGTTTTAGAGAATCTGAACATTTGTACATTTTCTGCCATTTGGCTGATCCTAATTAAAGCATTGCCCTGCTATGGATTTAGTTTACATGGCATCAAGAGGATTCTCTAATGCTTTTACTCCTCCTAGAACAACTGAACTATGTGTCAAGAGAAAAGAGGATCATAACCCGATGTCCTCCTTGGCCTGGTATGGTTTTAATGTATTAATCAGATTCAAAACAAAAATGAGTAACAAAAATGCAACCAAGAGTCACTTGTTGAGATGGGTGGCCATGCAAATTGAATGAATGAATGAATGAATGAATGAATGAATGAATGAATGAATGAATGAATTCCCATCCAAGGGGGAAGAATCACAATCTGTATATTATGAAATGATGTAATGACATGAGTTATTCATTTGTATCAGATGTTATGACACAAAATCTACACTCTACAACATCATGGCACACATCAACATTTTGATGAACTTGAAGCTTATTATGGATGCCACTGGCAACCACCTTCCCCCTCTTGTTTCTTCCCCATTACTTTCTACTAAGTTTTCGACTCTCCAAGGAAAGCCTATCTCCTTGAAAATACAGGGAAAGCACCCTATTGGCCAATCACACAGAAGCAGCTGAGAGGGGAGAGATCCAGGAATCAGTACCTGAGCCTGGCCTTGCTTTTGGCTATGGTGGTGATGCAGTATCGATGCACAGTGTAGAAGTAATCCTGGTAAGGGATGCCTTGGGTGACCACCTCTGAGTCAACTACACAGCCTCCATTCTTGGAACTGGCACGGAACAGAGTCTGACCATCCAGTAGGCAAGGAGGAAGAGAAAGGCATGATCAGCACATGCACTCAGTTTTTGTTACCCATTCTCGGTCAATGCCATGCTTTCCCATGCCCATCAGTTTGCTCAGACAACTGTCCCATGGAAGCAGTGGCTTAAAAGTTTCTACTGATCCAGCCAGCAGATCCAAACACAACAACCTTGCCTTCTCCACCCCTCTTCACATTTTTAGGAACCAATTGTCCATACCTGGGTCTCCACCACAGGTGCAATCTTGGGGCCCAAAGGGTTACTGATGGGGATGGTGTAGGTGATGACACGGCTTTGATGACACTTGCTGTCTCCACTCCATGAAGTCAGTGTAACATCTAGGAAGGGGAGAAAGAAAAGTTGGGGGCAGGGTAGGAAAACCAAGTGGTGATTACACTTTTGAGGATATTTTTAAAAAATGATACAGTAAAGTCTTAGTTTGATGAAACACAAGTTTAGTGAACTTTGGATACAGCAGACCCACATTTTGTTCAGACTCTACACTCTTTGTAATGGATATTAGTTCATTAAGTCAAGGTTTTACTGCAACCAACACAATTTACATCCATTATACACTTATGCAAATGACAAAAATGGGCACAAATTTGGATTTAATGGACACCCCTCATCTCTGAAGTTTCCATTAAATCCAGGCTTTAGTATAAATGCCTTCCAGCAAAAAAAGGCATATAAAAATCAGGCAGGACTCAATTTTTCAAAGGGTTGCTACCTATTCTGCATGCACAGGATGCAGCCTGTTAAAAAGGAACTGAATCTCAAGGCCTTTGGCTCTGCCAGAGAACTAGGGTCCATTCTCACATCCATTAACTTTGGACTGAAAATGAAAGGGATCATAGAATTCAAAGGCTGAATTCAACGGTGGGCAACCTATGGCTTGTGAACCATGAGAGGTCCCCCAGCACCCCTTCTGCAGTTGTTAGAGCCCTCTAGAATTGTGTGTGTGGGGGGTAAAATTTAGGCCTGGGGATTTAGCTTGCTTGGGAGGGGGGCTTTGGGGGAAAATGGGTGCCCTGTTTGCTTGCCAGATGTGGTGGGAGGAACAGGCTCAGCAACCATGCCAGGCGGAGTTCCAAGAATGGTTGTCAGCCTCTTTGACAGTTGCTTAAAATTGAAAATAATAATTTCAAGCACAATTCTCAGACTCTGTTCTGTAAGATTTATTGAGATTAGTGGGATGGGGTTACAAGAATTCCAGCAGCTGAACCATTTCCCCTTTGGAACCAATTTCACTCCATGGACATTCAGGCGGAGACTTTTAGATTTTCTTTCCAACAGCCTTCCTACGATCTGGCAAGGAGGAAGGTCATTTCTCTAACAATCAGGGAAGTTTGCGGCTGGCTGTTTATGCAACAGTTTCCCAACTCTTTATCCAATACATCAGCTGGGGACCAGGTCATGAAAGTCTAAGTTAAGCCATCAAATAAGACATAAAACAGCAGTGTCCTTCATTTTGCAATGTAAACTCTTGCCTGAACTTTGCTCCTGAATATCCACTGGGGTTGTGATTTGAAACAGTTTCTCCACCTCCCTTACCTGTGAACTTGCGTTGGTCAAAAAAGCCATGTATGAACTGGGAGTCACTGAAGAGCATTTGTTGCAACCTCTCAGCTCCAATGTGATACACAGCATTAATCAGGAGCCGCCCTGGCAAGTCGGTGAAGAAGGCTTCCACTTCGGCTGGAGAAGGAGGAATGAGAGATGGTTGAATTACATCTTCTACTCCAAGATCTGGAGGAGTTCAGGCAGGATGGGGGTTGCCCTCACCTTCATCTTGTGTGGAAGAGGAGGAATTACTCATGTCAGTGGGGAGCTCCTCACTGGGGGGTGGGTCCCCCTCCGGGGGGGACACAGGAGATCCTTGCAGCAAATCATCTGGTGGGGGTTCCGTGGCTGAGGTCACTGTGTGGCTGGATGAAGCATCCATTTGGCTGTCAGTGTTCTCCTCCAGATCCTCTGCCAACTACAGGGAAGCAAACCGGCATTAGTTTCAACCCATGTGAGATTTGGAGATTTGGCTCCAGTTAAAATACACATTTGGTCACGATCTGACATTCAGCATCTGGACAGTCAATGAGAAATCAGCCAAAATATTTGCTATTTGATATGTTCTTGACACCAAGCATGTAGCAGAAGGTAATATCTGATGAATGACATGCAGCCGAATTGAGTACATTTTATTTGGTCCTATCCTCCAACTATTATTTATTTTTCTTTTATTAAATTTAGGGGCCACCCAACCCAAAACAATGCCTGGCGGCTTATAATTTAAAAGGAAGAACAATAAATTAGAGGAAAAGAAATCATGTATATTCAGAAAAAAACATACATAGCTCACCAAAAAAAAACAATAACTGCAGGACTCAACATTCACCCTGCCCCTGGTTGGGAAAACAACCAGGGCTTCAAGGACTTCTGACATGCCATCAGGATGTTCTCTATGAGTCCTCTGATTGCTCATCTTCTTTGAGGTCTCCATCTAAATCTGGAGTTTTTCCTCATTTTCCAATGGATTCCTATTTTAATCGCAGGGATTAAATTCATCACGGACTATGTAATCCCAGTTGCTAAGAGAAAACATATTCTGAATATCTATCCTTAACTATCTGAACTGGCTGTAATCCAAACCCAAGTAGCTGGAGTAACTCCAGCTAAATTCGGTGGGGCTTATTTCTAAGTAGACTAAGTAAATAATTTTCAGAACTAAAATCTCTCTCCTTTATAAGTTGCAGTGGAGCTAGAATCATAAAACCATTTTAGCCAGATGGGTTTCAATAGATCAGCTTCATTTTTAAGAATTCTGAAATGTCCTTGGATATTTCCCAAGTCTCTGGGGCTCGCCTGAACAACAACCACAGAGTGAGTGTGTTGGGTTTTTGTATTCTTTGTTTAGCTGCTTAAAAAAAGGAGTATTTTTAGATCAGGAATCTAAAAATACTCCTGATCTTCAAAGCTGAATTGAAAATGAATTCACCTGTTTTGGCAGCCTGAGAAAAAAGCTTTTATTAAGCGGGATCAAATCAAACTGAATTACTTTCTGCTCAAAACTTATTTTAATCAGTAGAAGAACTTCCCATTTTCCTTCATATGCTTTAACTTTTACTTAAAGTTGACGGTTGGATGTCTTTAGAACATGTATAAGGTAAAGATATTGATATTTTAAAATAGTTTTATGGGGTTGATTGTAACTTTCAAGTTATTGATAGGTGCATGAAGCATATATACTTATAAAGTAAGGTATAGGAAATAGTATGGAGCATAGGAAAAATGTTAGTGTTTTCACCTGGGTCTTTTAGTAGTTCAAAGGCATTAATTTCAGTGCACCCAAGAGTAGATACTATTGCTTAGTGATAATGCATGTGCTTTGTACACTAAATGTTCCAGAGTTAATATCCAGCATCTTTTCTACCTGGTGCTGGAAAAGATTGAAATTTTAGAGCTCCATCGTCTCTCTGGGGAATATTGAACACAATGGACCAGTGTTTCTCAACCTTGGCAAGCTTAAGACGTGTGGACTTCATAAGACCATAAAGAGGTGTGGACTTCATAAGACCATAAAGTCCAACATTAACATTAAAGCAAAGAAACATAAAACAGATGTGAGGAATGGAACATAGTGCCTGGATTCCAAAAAGGCAGTCCTCTGCACAGCAGCAGTTTGTTGCAATTTTCACATGTCTGTAGCCCCCAACCAATGACCTCCCACGTCCTGGAGATCCCCCTTAGGAAGGTCAGCATCACCTGTCCTCTACTTCAAAAGCTTCTCAGGTTGGTCAAAATGAGGAGCCAATTCTATCAGTGGTATTATGTGAAAGGGAGGGGGAGCAGGGAAAGGCCAGTTTGGTCTAGATCAGCGTTTCTCAACCTTGGCAACTTTAAGACGTGTGGACTTCAACTCCCAGAATGCTGAAATTTGGTGATGTGACTTTTACTCCCTCCACCTCCAAATAGGTGGTAAAATAGGTGCATTAAAAAATGCAAAACAAATGTCAAAATGAGGAGCCAATTCTATCAGTGGTATTATGTGAAAGGGAGGGGGAGCAGGGAAAGGCCAGTTTGGTCTAGATCAGCGTTTCTCAACCTTGGCAACTTTAAGACGTGTGGACTTCAACTCCCAGAATTCCCCAGCCAGCCATGCTGGCTGAGGAATTCTGGGAGTTGAAGTCCACTCATCTCAAAGTTGCTAAGGTTGAGAAACACTGCAACGGACCAATGGTCAGAATCTACAATACCTTCCTGTACTCTAAAGAATCCTCCAGACAACTTCGAAAATTACACTGCTGAAATTTGGTGATGTGACTTTTACTCCCTCCACCTCCAAATAGGTGGTAAAATAGGTGCATTAAAAAATGCAAAACAAATGAGATTTCTGGGGAGGAGAGAGAAAATTATGCAAAGCAAATAATATTCAAGAGGGGAACGGAAAAGTCTACAATCAGTTCATCATGCATTATTGTAGGACAACTTGTTCTTATGGGGGACAAAATCTAGGAATGTAGGAATCTTCATAACATTCCAGCTCTCTTCTGAATTCCCCATCCTCACCGATGTGGTCCCATCGCTGCTGCTGGCCAGTGAGTTGATGCTCTGACTGGTGTCCCTTTTGTCCAGCAAGGGACTGGTGTCCAGCTTGAGGTCAGTGCTGCAGCGGGAAGTCAGCTCAGTCAGGTCGATATCATCTCCAATTTCTTTATGGCTCCTATTGGAATTGTGATCCATGGCAAGGCAGAGACAAAACAGAGGAAGATTTAAAAGGAATCTCCTGGACCAGCAAGGCAAATTTATGAGGGAATCAACCTTGAAAAAGGCTTCTCACCATCTCATACAGATGGCAAACATTGCTAAGAGGTATAGCTACAGGTTTCATTCACCGACACGGGAAAACTGCCCTGTCCACAGGGCAGCAGATGCTCACCCCAAGCCATTGAGATCATCAATGGGAGAAACGTAATCATCATCTTCACTGGTCAGGCCAAGTTCAGAACCATAGCATTGATGGACAATGTGCCAGAGTTCTCGTGGAGGCAATGTCTGGTGGCAGTGGAAGAACATGACATTAAGAAAGGAAACAAAGAAGCAGATACATAGCACAGCTTTTGAAGAGCTTATGACAATAAGTCAATGTTTGTTTTAACCATGGCTTGCTGAGCAAACTGCAAATGATTGGGTTCACATATTGTACAACAGCATAAACTATGGTTTACAGACCACAGTGGCTGGATTCCTGCAATGTGCTAAGTGTAGGGAGCCATGGAGATGACTTTGGAGAAGGAATCCAGAACCCATTAGAGTAACAGGAGGTGCAGAGGAAGAAGCATGTATTAAGTCCAGGAGGGTGGGAAAATATTAGAAAGAGACTCAGGCTGGTTCCCCTCCATTCCCTGGAGTATGAGGGAAGAGAAAACACAGGCTGACTTGCAAGATTCTGTTACTATAGCCTATCTCAAAAAAGTATAGTTCTAGTCTTCCTATGGAATCAGTTTCCAGATCTGGTGGACACTGAGCCAGAACCAAGAAAAGACATGGTGGTTTGGAACAGGCAACCTGTGGCACTCCAGGTTACATCTAGTATCTATCGCCATTAGCCGTACTTCCTAGAAGTGCTGGAAATTGTAGTCAGGTAATACCTGGAAGGTCAGAAAGTTATCCACCTTGCCTAAGCGGCATGTTTGAACCTTGTATGTACAGTATGTGTGTGTGTACCTCTTTGCATGCGTATATCAAAGCTAAACAAATCAGCTTGGACAGTCACAAACATAGTGAAGCCCCAATATAGGGAGCACACTGAAAAACCTTGAAACATGATAAAATCTGGGCCCACAACTCTGAGGACTGAGCTGTGACAAATCCTTGGTTGCTCTTCCCCTGATCTGTTCCTACCTTATCCAGAAGTGCATTCTGCCAAAGGCGAAAGATTAGCATGAAGCATCGGTCGCGGGCGCCGAAGGATGTGAAGAAATGCTGGGAACCACAAAGAAGAACAGTGTGTGAGACTGTCCCCCAAATAAGCTTGACAGTGGGGAGCCTTCATAGCTTCTACCTGTAAGTTGCATTTAGGCTGTGATTTCTCAGGAGCACAGAAAATTACTGAAAACTGAACTATTTTGGAGGGTTTAGGATGAGCAATGTGTCACCAATTTTTTATTAGTTTTGATTTACTAAGTTCTTTTAATGTGCTTTAATATTTTACCATGGATCTTTCAATAGGACAGCCTTTGTATTATTATCTTATTTACTGCGAACTGCTGAGAATCTGATTGATTTGATCAATAGGTAGGTAGGTAAGTAGGCAGACAGACAGAGGGATTGGAATTTATTCACACAGACATGCACATCTCACTTGGGAGCCGCAAGGACATTCCTTCATCACAGATGCTCTGCAGGGGACAATCTGTGTTCTCCCTGCTTCTGCTGTTCACACAGCTGGGTGGATGTCAGAGGTGGGAAGATAACCCTCTATGTAGACCAGGGTTGCTCTTCCAGATATGGCTGAACTACAACTCCCAGCATCCCCCAGCAAGAGCCATATTGTCTGTGCTTGCTGGGAGATATAGTTCAGCAATGTCTAGAGGATCACCATGTTCTCCACTCACAGAAATGGCTTCCTGCCTCATAATGGTGCACAGATTGTGCAAAGCATTCTTGCATGGATAATACCCCAAAGGAGTACAGTGATCCCATGCAGAAAAAATGGTAGGTGTCTATGAAATGGGGTCTGCTGTTTCAAACTGCAAACCTCAATACCAGAAGAAAACACGCCAATTTGGTGTGCCAATTTGGAGTGGCAGTTTGGAGGGATCTGAGCAATCCAAAAATTACAAGCCCCCGCTGGCTGTCTAACCACAACTGCTAATGAAGATTACAATCTTGACTTCCGGGATGTGCATATCTTGAAAGGAACATAGAAAGGCTGTGCATTGTTTTCTCTAAAGTGTACAATTATGGGTCATTAAACACTGTAAAGAAAGAATGGTTCCATATTAACTGATCTTCAGCCTGCCATAGAGGTTGGGAGACACCCATTTTTATCTGGACTTCTCTATGCCCGATGCACTTTCTCTTTTCTAGGACATTGCCTCACTGGTTAGGGCCATAAGCGAGGAGGAGATGCCTCTGAAGATAAAGGCCTCACCCTGCCCAGCAGAGATTCCAGAAGAAAAACTTTAGTCTAGGGCGGGAAGGAGGGGGGAGAAAGAAAAGGAGGAACAATTCAACAGCTGTAAATTATCAGTGAGTTAGGCTCTCTTCCTGCACAGAGCTGCAACATTTGCTAGGAAGATAATCCAGATTCATGGGTAAAACCTATTAAAATATTTACACTGTGCATAAGGTCTATAGCGTCCCTCCAGCATTTTGAAAAGCAAGGGAGAGAGAGAAGGGAGCTGGGACAGAGAAAAACTGTGGTTCCAGCCACCATATTTTTTCCCAGTGGCACTGAGCATTCATACGCAGCTTCAGAATGGCTATTGTATCAATAGCATGAGGAAGGATACTGTGAAAACTCTGCCACAATTATCACACAAAGGACACAGAGCAAGGCAGAGTCTAGAACGAGGATGGGATGTTTCTATAACTCAGCACTCACAGAAGATTCCAGATTCAATCCCGGCTATTTTCCAATCCCTAATTGTGGATTTCTGCAAAACCCCAGGGAAAAGCCATCATGTAAAATAAGCTGGGGCACCTTGCAGCCCTCAAACTCCAAGTTTTGAGGCCCCCAGAACAACCTCTGATCACAATTGGTGGAGCAACTTCTCGCAGTTTGAGTCAGGAAACATCCACATAAAGAAAGTGAACTTTAAATGCTAGAATAGACATAATGTAGTTTAAATCAAATTCTACCCCCAAACTGGAAAATCTTGACCTTGCCCTCATATATGATGTATCCTGATCTGTTTTGCATCATTCCCTTATTGAAAAAAAGCTAAATAAGGCCTCCAGCTAAAAATAAAGAGAAGAAGAAGGTTCTTCACCCAATTCAACTATAGCCCTTCCACTTGCAGGTTTTTTTCTACAATATGCAAGCAGATTTGCGCAACTTCAAATTGCTTCAATTATACCATCAGAGATGCCTGTAGCTAACGTGTGTGAGCCAAATCAGTAACAGTAGATTACAGATAAAGTCCAGTCATGCAACCCACGAAGGAATCAAAGATCAGGGTCCTTTGCTGGCAGACTATAAAATGCAGAATCTTGGAAACTGCAACATCTATCCACAGGCTTGGATTCAAAGGGGATATAGGACAATATCACCTTCTCCGTCTCTGTGCAAATCTGAATCGCGTTGGGGATCAGCTTGGCCGTCTTTTCCTTCTTGATGCATATGACCTCCTTGAGCTGGATGGAAATCTGGATGGAGGAGCAACACAGAAGTCAGTGGCCAGGAGAGGAAAAGCTAAAAGCACTCTGAAGAGACCCTGGATGGAGCATTTACCGTGGTCTCCCATCGGAAGATGTTGCTGTAGAAGCAAATCCAGTTCTCTGATAGATAAAGCCGTCCTTGAAGTAAGATGTCACGCTGCAGCGCGCAGGAGTAATCTGAGGAGAGAGGAGATGTCAGGGAGCATGGAAAGGGGTACAGAGAAAGTACAAGTTGAAATGTACTTCCAAAGCTTGCAAAACACACCTCAGAGCCTGATACTAAGGGGCTGCAAGCCCCGGGATGTTCATCGAAGTTTTAACATTTTTATTTCAGATACACAGGCTATGATCATAGTAGGGTTAATCTAGCTGAGAACCCATTTTTGAGGTTTGTCCCATCCTCTGAACTACAAACTAACCCAACACTCAACATACTATGCCACCAAAAACAAACCAACGCCCTAACCAAAATCAGCCACGTTTTGCACATTGCACAATTGTAGCTGCTGACTTTGTAACTGACAGGCAGAGAGAGACAGCTATAAAAAAAAAAAAAGACTGAACATTACTGTGACAATTACAGTTACAAACCAGCAGTGCTTTTAAAAACTTGAGGCATGGAAAAATGTCCAAACATGGCAACTCCAATTGTTCCCCTCCCTATAGTTTTCCTCCATTGCTTTACCTCTGGAATGAATGTGATATTTGAAGATGATCATAAGGTCCAGATCCAGCCTCTGGATCATCAGGTCCAGATCCTCTGGCAAGCACAGGATTAAGTGGGGCTATACCTCTATTCAAAGATAAGAATCCGTGACATGCCTCCCTCCCTGCTTCTACACTACCCCAAAGATTAGGAGCTAAACTTCTGATGCGGCAAGCATTTCAGGATTGGAAGTCACGCACAGGACTTGCTGCTGACATCCAACTCCCAAACTGAAAGAATGAAGAGGAAAAACACTGATTTTTCCCCCTGCAGATTCATTATTTCTCAAACTGTCCAAGTTGTTCTCTGTTGTTCTCCCAATGACTTCTTTCATCATCTTTATGCAGTCACTGATGATTCATGATTATGTGCCATCAAGTTGGTGTTAACTCTTAGCATAGATTTTCTCCTGGATGATCTGTCCCTAACCCAGTCTTTCAGGTCTTCCAACAGAGCAGCCATCGTCCCTGTAACTGAATCCGTCCACCTTACTGATGGTTGTCCGCTTCTTCTCTTTCCTTCCACCTTTTCCAGAGAGCTGGATCTTTGCATAATGT